CCACCATCAATCTCCATTTACAGAAGGCTCAAGGGGCAAACCCAATATTAGACAGAGAGGGGCTTCTTTGTGCCACAGCCAAGCCATTTCCCCAAGTAGGGATGGATGTAACAGTGCACTCTTCTGCATTCCTCAGTCATGTTAGCCACCTGGTTTTATAGTCATTGTTTTGTCTTACCCACACCCTTTCTCATTTATTGTAGTTCAAAAGGAGATGGCTTCCAGGTTAGACAGTGTGCTTGAAGAGGCCCTAGGGGCCCGTCCTCCCCTTCAACCAGACGCCACTTATCTGTTAGGCACCAGCCACCTTGCAGTTTTGTGCAGCCCGCATTTTATGACAGCCCTGAGTCAAATCATTCTGAATAAATAAGGGTTAATTTCATCCCTCTGGGAGGGAATAGTCCTTTAAACAATAGACATTATTGCTGCATCAAGCCTAAAAGATAAATAGAAATGAAGAAAGGACTATGTGAGGCTGATCAAAGAAAAAATAAGAAGAAAGGGGATAAAGAAGAGAAAAACAGGAAAGGTAAGCAGGACAGGGAGCAAAAGGGTATCACCCACTAAGTGCTCCTTTCACCAAGGAGAGCTGCAAAGTCACCCCATTGTCTTAGATGGGAGAAATGTCTGCCTCAGATGCATAAGCCTGCTTCTCCGTCTATTCTAGATTCATTCATTCCATGCCTGCTCATCTGTCTACTTTAAGCAACACTGAACCTTGCCACTCTATAGCTAATGCTGAGTTACAGGAATAGTTGCTACAGGGCCAAGGGGCTAGGTCCTAGCCTGGGGAGCTTTTCATTCGTCTTCTCTAGGTGCATCTCCAATTCTAACCACCAGAAGATCCTAACTTCTTGTTGTTGGGGGTGAGGGTAGGAAGTTCAGATGTCTAGCAAGTGCTAAGTTTCTTCAGATTTGTCAGATAATTAACCAGAATTCTAACTAAAGTGTAGTTAACTTTAGAAGTAGTCCCATTCATTTTGCTTTGCATTCACTCTTATTTATTCCTCCACAAATACAGATCGAGCTCCTTTTCCTTGGCACGGGGGATACATAGTCGATGGTTCCCTGTCTAGTGAAGGAGATTCCAGCAAAGCAAAAATTAGAGAGGTCCAGGTTTATGCTGAAGAATTTGTGTCTGAGCATTCGTGTACATGTGTACGTGTGTGTGTGTGCGTGTGTGTGTGTTTGTACATGCGGGTAAAGATGCAGGTATGAGTTAGGGTATGTTGCAGCCCTAGAAAAATTGTGACAAGGCAAAATTTGTCTTCCCAAGTTTTGAGCTGTGCTCATTTCATGCTCTTTTGGACCAGCCCCATGAAACTTTACAGTTCTTCTCCTCCACCTAGGAACAAAGATATGAATGAAAAGATGTGGAAGATCGTGATTGCTTTTCTCATCCTGAATTTACTCCAAATGGACAGCTTCCATCCCTATGTATTTCTCATGCTTGCCCCTTGAAAAGTCCTAAAACAGAATTGACAAGGTTGCAAGAGAAACTGAAAAAGCCATCTCATTTCTTATAGCTCTGTCTTCCTCCCACAGTACCTAAGCCCACCTCTAAGGCCTTCTGTTTTAACGGATGGCCCAGAATGATAGAAAACCCGATAGACTGGGTTAAAAATCCCTACCTTTAGTATTTGCTAACTTTGTGACTATGGAAATTTGTTTTATCTTTCTGATCCTTGGTTTAAGTATCTAAAAATCTGAATTATACCACAAGCTTTATAAGATTTGCTCTAAAAATTAAATGAGAGAAGAATATTCCTCCATGTATTGCACACTTACAAAATTATAGGCATTGTGCCAAGATTTTTACACAATTGTTATTTAAGCCTCATAACAACCCCAAAAAGGCTTTTATATGGATCAGAAAACTGAGGTTAAAAAGAGGTTAAAAACACATCCAAGACCACATAATAGTGAGCGTTGGAACTGGGATTCAAATCCATTTTTTTTTTTTTTTTTTGAGACTGAGTCTCATTCTGTTGGCCAGGCTGGAGTGCAGTGGGTCTTGGCTCACTGCAACCTCCGCCTCCCAGGTTCATGCGATTCTCCTGCCTCAGCCCCCTGGGTAGCTGGGATTACAGGTGCCTGCCACCATGCCCATCTAATATTTTTCTGTATTGTTAGTAGCGATAGGGTTTCATCATATTAGCCAGGCTGCTCTTGAACTCCTGACCTCATGATCTGCCTGCTTTGGTCTCCCAAAACACTGGTATTACAGGTGTGAGCCACCACATTCAGCCTAAATCCAGTTTTGTTTGACTCCAAACCTGGTGCATTTTACTTAAGGACCAAATTATACCTGGCACATGCAGGGACTCAAGAAATGTGAATTCCCTTTCTATTCTTCCTTATATGTGAATGTCAGTGGCTTTCATGGCCTCAGTCCAATAGTCTACTCCCTCCCAGGTTGCCTTTTAATCGTTTCTTTCTTGTAGATGAGCAAGAATCTGCATATTTAGATCACTTATTTAAGCATCTCTTTTTAAACAGATGTGTTGATAATGTAAGGCTTGGGTAATGAGATTTTCCAGGCCATAAGTTGCTAACTGAATTAATTGCCAGGCTTATTTGCAATAAATAAAGAGATGATTACATGTATAAAAATCACAAGGACCCACTGAGCTTGTGAAGAAAGATTCTGACCTGCACAGCAGGAGTATCTTACTCTGAGCTAGGAAAGGACCAGCCCAAGAGCACAAAGCAAGAGCACCTCTGAAATTGCTTTAGGTTAGAGAACTCTGGTCTGAGATTAAAAATACTGAGTGATAAGTCTCACTGTGGCTATTTACTGCTTCTGCGACTTTGGGCAAGTTATATAATCACTCTGAATCTCAGTTATTTCTTTGTAAATTATAAGCACTAGAATAGGTGATTTTTTAAGGCCCTGGCCAGCTATAGCATTCAATAATTCTGTGTCAGCTGATACTTGTCAAAACCATGATTTCCTTGTCTAGTGGTACCCTGAGATGTTCATATGGTCAAAAATACATTTAGCTTTGCTTTTGAGATATTCAATTTAACACACTCAATCTGGGACTATTTTGAGGAATAAGATGAGGTAGTAAATGTGATGCTACCTGATGTGGGCCCAAAGCATTTTTACAGGATAAGAAACTAACAAAGCACTCACTCCACCCCCACCATAAATATACCAGTGAATCCTTTTAGCCACACACCCCCATAGTCCATATATGTCATAACATCTGATATTCATGTGAGTTACTGCATTAATAATACATGCTTTCTCCTTGGAAGGGCATGGCCTGCTTCACAAAGACCCCTGTGAAGTACTGAAAGCCATCCTTCCATTCGGTGAACACAGAACCCTCTCCCACCTTCCCCCACTTCTCTCAGTGACTGCTGGATTAACTCAGCAAGGAACTTAAAACAATAGGTGAGAATGAGTTAATGAAACTAGTTATGTTTATCCTCAGAATGACTGACATTTCAGGGAAAAAATGATAGTTGTCTTTGAGTAACTGAAGATCTGTTGCAGAGGAGGGTTTTTGATCTGTTCTGGGCTTCCCTAGGATCCACGGCATGGTAAGCAACTAGGGAAGGTTTTTTTTTTTTTTGAGTGAATAAATTCTATGTAGCTCCTAAAGCCTGAACAAAGGCTAAAAGAAAGATATTAGATGAATAGATTCTGGAGATGGATGATGGCTACAGCAATGAGAATGTGCTTTATGCCACCGTATTATACAGCTAGTGCTCGACTTAACGACCACGATTGGGAACGGCAGACCGGTCGTAACACGATTTGGTCGTAAGTTGAGTAGGCTATATGTACAGTTGAAGTGGTGCACGTGGAGATGGTAGTGCTGCTGGAAGCTAGTCCGCACTGTC